TTCTTGCTGTGTGTTATTTTGAAAAGTTGTAAAATAAAATCTTAAAAAGAATAAGCACTTGAGCCTTTAAAAAAAATACTTTTTATTGTTACCGGTACTTGAGTAACTTGTTGGAGTGCTACATTATCCTCTTAATTCAGTACAAATATGGTGTGTTGTTCCTATTTGAGTGCAGTTTTTGGGTACTATGCTGACCTCTGGGCAAAGTATATGACGATTTGAGTACCAGCATCTGACGGCAGGAAACCTGAAGGCTGTCAGCTCAGATATTCTAGCATTCTGACTGCTGAGTTCCAGGTTCTGGGGTAAATTAAATACAAAGTTTTACCTGAGAGAGAGTGGCTGTGATGTAGACGTATACCAGGCTACATGAACCAGTTTAAATGGGAACATTCAACTGCAGTAAACATATTTCAGCCCCTAGAGGGCAGCACTAGAGCTGTCAAATTTTGGGGAATTAAACATGCTTACATAAAAATGTTTAGACTTTCATTTAAACATAAATATGGCATCCGGTTTATCTGACAGAAAGTTGATTTTAAGTTATTTTACTCTTTAACGTTTGATTTGCCGATTTAGCTGCACATTAATAGCCTAGTAAACTAGCCCCACCTGCCAGTGGCCAAAATCATTTTAGCCTGTGAGTTTGGTCTAGCCTCGATCAATGCCCCAGGCCCTAGAACTGGCGGGCCAGATTACAACGCAGAGATGTGTTTTGTAATTTCTGGATCCAAAGCGGGCGGGATTTTGAGGGCGTGACAACAAAGGTGCACGACGCTGGAGAAAGCACAACAAGGAAGATGGCAATGACTATTCAACAGTTTGACTCAGCTTTGGAATCAGTCTTGGAAGGATTAGACTTGGAGTTTTCGTTGAAACGTGAGCAGGAAGAGGCTCAATGCTCATTCATATTTAAGAAGGACTTATTCGCCATTTTACCGACAGGCTGTTTGTTTACACTCCCCCACCAGCTTTCTGTCGCATTTACTACGTCACAGTCAGTTGCGCACATTGGTCAGATCTTTGGCCAATAGGCACAGACATGGTTTGAAAGACAACGCGTTGTTCTCATTAACAATCTTCCAATCTCTCATTGATCGGGGCCAGACTAAAATACACATTTAATCTCACGTTTAGTCTGGTTTATCAGGCTAGCACATTAGTGCAAAAACAGACAGAACTGAGTTCCCCCACTGTGGGTCAGTAAGGGCTAAATCTGTTCTATTCTATTCTATTCTATTCTATTCTATTCTATTCTATTCTATTCTATTCTATTCTATTCTGAAGAACTGAATGTTGTTCCCTTTAGACATTTCACAGCAGTGGTTTTTAAAGTGGGGGCATTTACAATAAATCAGCCTTCCTGTGTCACTCTGGCTTTTTAAATATAAAGCAGCTCAAGTTACAACACAAAGTGTGATACCACCTGGGCATAGAGCTGCCTATGACACAGACAGACATCAAGCCCCGCCCACCCACTACACAGACACTTTAGAAGATTTATGGCTTCTGTTATTTTTGTTGAAAACTTTGGAATTCAATCAGAAAAATGATACAGCTTAGAAAAAAATGTTCTTATGCTAAATATATGTAAAGGTAATTTAACATAACAGTAATTACAAATAAGGAAAAAACATCCAAAAAGTTCTCTTTCTCTATATATAATTTAGCTTTGTCTGATAGTTTTTCCCCTCCAGAAGCTGATGCTGAGTGCTGCCGTTTGGAAACGTCTGCTTCAGGGCAACATCCATGAAGCTCTGATAAAACTTTAAAACAACCCTGAAAAACATGGATCAGAGAGCAGCAGAAAAATAATCGCACACAAAACAAATGAAATAAGTTGGAAACAGAGTGCAAAGGATCCAGAAAGTTTATAGCATCAGATTTTACATGTCACAGTTTTCCTTCATGCTGAAAGACGCAAACACAGCTGACTGACATCTTAGTGTTTTAGCATCGGCAGCTGGTCCCTCGCTAAAAAAACAAAAACAAAGTCTTAATAAGAAAACCAGCCAAAAGACTTGATACAACGAGGAAAGAGTTTTAGTGCAAATATGTATTATAATGGCATCCAGCCAGTAAATGTTAGCTCTTCATACAGCGATCAGACAGAGAGGACGACCACAGAGATGAAGGACATGAGTGCAAAACATCCGCCTTTGCTTCAAATGGCAGTGAAGGTTTATTGTCATTTTCTGATTCCTTCCGTCAGATTCAGAAATGAAACATCCACCAAAAGACATGAAGATAAACAACAGATTTCTGCTGTTTCCCTGAACTCAACACTGAAAGTTAAAAGTCACACGAGATGGACAGGTGTGGAAGAAATATCACTGAACTTCACTGATAATGTACTGAGAAGAATGACCACAGATGGAGAATCTCTGTTTTTTCTCCTCACATAAAACTCAAAGCTTGCAGAATAAAAGACTGAAGCAGATTTCAGAATGTTGGAGGAGAACTGACTCCCACTGAAGTCACAATAATAATTTAGTCTCATTATGTGTGTAGAAACACTTTTCTGTCAAAGAAAGAAAGAAACCAACATGCAGAACAGCCTTACATGCTGGTTTATGATCTTGAAGTCATCTGGATAATGAACATCTCCATCTCCTCACATGAACATTCAACCAGATGTTTCAATAAAGATCTGAGCTGCTGGATCTGCCTGGTTCTGCAAAATGGTTCTGACCTTATAAGCTGCACTAGCAGTTCTGGGCCGGTCCACAAACATCTGATGCAAATTGGCTGAAATGACATCTGCTCTGAGAACCTGCTGGTCTGAAGGACATCCTGCAGGTTTCTATGTGTAGGAACTTGTGGGAAATGTTGAGCTTCTATGTGTCTCCATGAGGACAAACCCTACCAGAGGTCCAATTATGTCTCCTCCACTGATCTGTTCACGCTAACAGAGAAAAGCTTACAGAGAAACAAAGTTTAGGCTTGTGAGCACATGTGGATGTTTAACAAGCTAAAACCACACATGGAACATGTTCTGCACGCATGCTACATCTGGTTTAATATGTGAATCACATGTGAAATGCTTCCTCCACATGTGATTGTCATGTGCATAGGTTGGTAGCAATGCCTGGCAGTATTCTCCACACGTGAACCTGGAGACTAGCAGTGTTCTGTCCCTCCAGCTGAGAGCAGAATCCTTTAGCTCCTCCACCTTTATCTGTAGATGCATTTACTGCTTGTTGGAGAAAACATTTTCTTTTTTCCACTGGTTGTTCTATTTTGTATTATTTCCTTTTTTCTTGCAGGGGTTAGCACAATCACTACAACAGAGAGGAGTTAAAAGGTTCCTCTGCAGCCAGTGAAGTCCCTGCTTTCTTTTGACCTGACTGATCACTGTTCGGTAGCATGTATCCTTCTTTGTGTCCATGTGGGGTGGATGTATTAGTGGGTGGGTGACTGATGTTATTATTATGCTCTACTTTTACAAGGATAAAATAAAGCTACTTTGAACCCCATTAAACCTTGTCTGTCTCCCTTTTTTTGTAACCTCTGACTCAGGTTTCAAAGTTGGGGGCTTGTCCGGGATTATCTGACTGGTTGTTGTTTTAATTTTTTGTCCTCCAATTTCTTTTCTCTCGGCTGAAAGTATCCCTGGCTCAGTTGTTCTATGTCCAACTGACACCGAGCCATTGCTGCCTTTAAAGAAGCATAACACAATAGTTCACCACTAGGCGGGGCTGTTGAGCACTGCCTGTACACCAACCAGTTGTGTGACTGTTTCATATAATTCTGTTTTTCTGGGGCTGTTCGCCATTTAGCTCCTATGATACTTGTGTCTGCCTGTACATGGAGGGGCTAAGCCATACTGCTATGTACGGCTTGTAAACATAAAACTGACAACACACAAAAACAGTGTGTGATGTCACACCGTATTCCATCTATTTAGTTCTTCACATCACTATATTTATTTTTTTCTATAAAAATCAAGGAATTATTCGTATTGCTTTCGATTTCTCTGTGACATAGAAAGTACAACTGGCTTAATGGCTGCTCTGTCCTCTCCCCCACCAGCTGGTCCAGGGTGGCTGCTTTTAGAGAGTCTGGTTCTGTTTTTCTAGAGAGTTGCTTCCTGTTTTTCTCCACATGCTCATGGGGAGGGATTGCTGCAGTGGCTGAGTCCAATTTATTATGATCATATTTATGGTTGTTTAGTGTTGATTGTTCCTGACTTTGGCCACCAGAGGTCCTCAGTCACCCTCTCATGCCCTATCATTCTTCCTCCTTGTTTATTTTCTCCAGTTTTCTATATGTGAACTCTGGTTTGTCTAAAATCGAACATCTACCCTGAAGGCCTGATGATGATCAGAGCCTCAACCTGTGGGGAATGTGGGCCATCCTGAGCTCTGGTTTCACATTGCAACCTGCTTCAGGATGTTGGAAAGATGAGGAAGGCCCTGATGAAGAGGAGGGTGGAGAAGATCAAACAGCTGGAAGGACAAAACAGAACCAGGATCTGTTGGACTGAATCAGAACCAAATCATCGATCCGAGTAGAACACTGCTGGTTCAAATTCACCTGCACCTTCCTGGAATTCCTGGGAACTGAATTCTCCAGGATTCACATCTTCACTCCCAACATAAACAAGAAAAAGTGTTTAGAAAACAGATGATGCATAGAACCACAGGATGTCTCTGCGGCTGTAAATGTGGTTCTTTAGGATTTCCACAGGTTGCCGTGACACCAGTCAGAACCCAGAGAACCTCAGGAACTTGGAAAGATGTTGGGGATGTGGTTGGGTCTGTAATCCTGGTCCTGGATGTGTAAGCTGCACCTCTGAGCGGTTCTCTGGAGAACAGACAACATTAAAGCTGGAGCTGAACAAATCTGCTAAAGCTAAACATTCTCATAAATGGACAAAGACCTGAGGCTAACCCTGAATCTGGACCTTACTGAGTGCAGCCTCAGCATCTATCAGGTAGGATAAAGTCCTGCTGTCCATCTAAGGGGCTAAAAATCTGATCTGAAGCAGACATACGTACCTCAAAAAAAACCTCCTCAGTGTTCAGTTTCCCTGCTGAGAGAGGAGAGAGAGTACCGTCAGAAACCGTAGCAACTTCAACCACACAGAACTTCTCCTCATGTGATCCAGTCTCCCTGTTGAGGTCCAAGTCCTCAGTTCTATGGGCTTTCTAGAGGTATTCCTTTCTTCTCCTCATCTATCTATTGTAATTCTATTTTTAAGTGACTGGAAAAAATATTTCTCCTAAGTAAACTGAATCACCAGAATCAGAACCAGGTTTGAAGCTGTGAAAAATTTAGTCAAAATCCAAAGACTGTCCTCAGGAGACACTGAGAACTAGAAGGACCAACTCAGAAGATTACAGGTTAGCCTGGAACACAGTAAGGAGGGTGGGTTCAGATGGTTCCTAAAGAGCTGTACACCCAGAGGTCAGAACATTCCCAGTGAACTTTAGACAGCGGCTGACAAACCAACGTACAGCAGCAGAGTGAGTCAGCTTGTCGAAACGAAACTTCAGGTTGGATCTGGGAGAGTTCTTGTTTTTCAGCTCTGAAAGAGGAAAATAATCCATATTACCCAGAGGGAGGCAGGAACCATGATGGGACATGATGAAGGGGGGAACGGTTTACTGAACCTGTGGGGCTGCGGCAGATGATCAGGGGACAGGAAGCCTCGGGCGTGGATGTCTGAGACAGACGGAGGGAAGTTTCAGGATTACAGATCAGATCCAAGTCCTAAACTATTTCTCATCCTAAATCTGCATCCAAATTAAGTATTCTAAATCTAATAAACCCCTGAAGGTTCCTCAAACCAACCCAATGACCAACAATGAAGGCCCTCCCTTGTATCTGACTGAAAAAGGTTCTCTGCTCTGGTGCCACCAAAAGGCCACACTGTAAACCACAGCTCTAACTTCCCCAGGGAGTGTGGAAAAAGCCCATCGGTTTAAAGGTTTTGGGGGTCTGTCCCTCACCAGGTGTACGTCATCAGTGGGGACGCTAAAGCTGCAGGTGCTGGACGTGGATCTGGAAATCTTATTGCTCTCCTTCTTGGGGTGAATCCTGCAAACACAGAAACGTTCCTGCTACTGCTGCTTCATTGTTCACATTAAAACAAAAAGCGAGAGTTAAGCTCACCTGTCCCGTTGTCCTGCCTCTGGAGAGCTGGGATTGGACGGCAGCTCTGACTTCACCTCCAGCGTCGGGTGGCAGCAGTCGAAGCTGCGCTGTTCGTTAAGGAGGCTGATGGATCCCAAGGTAAACCCGACAGAGAAATAACCAAGGTTAAGTGTTGAGTGCAGACATTGTAGCCTTGTTTACAGATGGAGTTCCTCATGGCTCGGTTTTGTTTTATTCTTTGTTGTTTTTTAGCCTGCAGATCTTTTTAAAATCGACTATTATGCAGACGATGCGATGATATTCTGATCTATCAGTTCACCAATATATAGGAGCTGTCTTTTTTCTTTAAAGCATTAATAACTGCTAAGAACAGGTTGGAGTTACCTCCTGTGGCTTTGTTTGTCGGTCTGGCTGTCGACACTCAGCAGGCGAGGGAACAGGCCTGAGCGCCTCTTCACTGGAGACTTTACGTTGCTCTGGGAACAGAAACAAACTGCTCCTAACAGCTGCTGGGATCATTTCCCAACTGGAACAAGCCGCTGGTTCCACTTACCTCAATGCTCAGGTGGACCAGACCACCCCCACTTAGACTGGTGGGTAGTCCCGCCCCACCGCGTGACATGGTTTCCATGGATACGCTCCGTCCCTTCATCGCTCTCTGAAAGAAAACAGCCAGGCTTTATTTACCTATGCGCTACAACGCCAACCAGAGGCGATTAACTGAATCCAAGGACCGAGAACCCATAAATAACCAAGACGATACAGGAGGGAAATAATGGAGAATGTCTGTAACATTGCCGACACCAGATCGGCAAATTATGACCAGTTCCGGTAAACTACTGTATGATTTTCCCTGAATTAGTAAACTCTGAGAAAACGAGATTGTTTGCTGCACCTGTTGTGTTTAGCTGAGAGAAATCAGGAGTGAAGAGATTGAGTTCCTAATAGAGGTGGGAACCCTCAGACTAACCTTGATGGACTCCAGCAGACCTCCATGGGCATGGCCGTTCTCACCCCTTCCCTCCTCCTCTGCCCCTGAGCTCAATCCCAGCATGCATTGCGAGCGTCTCTGCAGCTCATCCAGGAGGCTGTCCAGCAGGGCCGATCGCGTCCGTTCCTAAACACAAGCAAAGAAAGACCAAAACGTTTCAGAGACCCGACAGCCTCCTGACATCTCAGAAGCTCCTTATCTGTCAGGGTTGGAAAGCTGATGAAACATTTTCCTAGGTCAGAAACCCAGATTAGATGTAATGACTGAACCATAGGGCTGCAACTAACAACTATTTTGGTAATTGATTAATCTGTTGATTATTTTTTCGATTAATCGATTAAGATCCGAATAGTGAAAGGTTCCGTAAGGAATATTTTTTGCGAATGTAATCAGGTGAAACTTAAACTTTTCGACTTGACAAGTTCTGGATAGAGCATATTGACAGAAAAAAAATGTTTACAATTTTTTTCTTTGATGATGATGGTATAACTGCTGCTTAAAGTGGTTTTCTCTGTCAGCCAGAGGCATATATTACAGTCTCTATACTCCAGTTAATGATTAATTGATTACTAAACTTATTGATTACTAAATTTGACAATTTAATAATCAATAAATCATGATTATTTGGATTATTTTTTTCAACCCTACATGGGAGCCATATGTTCTCCACACATCCTACAAGCTGAGAGGAAGCAGCTCCCCCTGCTGGCGAGGTTACCTCCAGTCGGGCAAAGCGTTCGCTCTTGTAGGAGGCCAGCTCTGCGTTGATGAGTTTGGTGAGGAGAAACTGTCTGAACTCTGGACCCTGCAGAAAGGAAACACTGGTGTGACTTCAGTGGAGCTGAAGTTTAAAGGTTGGTCAGATTTGCTCCAAAATCTATCCTCACCTTTCTGAAGACGGCGGGATTAGGCAGTGGTGGCCCAAATGAGGGAACATCTTCTCGAGCTGTGACAGATACCTGTCCGAGATTTGGCTATTTAAACACTGATGGCTGTTCGACATTCAGCAGCTTATTCATGAGGGATACCTCCTCCGTACCTTGTAGGTGGTGTTGTCCGAGCAGGGCTCCTCCACCTGCACCAAGACGAAGGCGTGCAGGAAGTTGGAGGCGATCATGTCGGGAACGAAGGGCGTGGCCTCTTCTTGGAACACCAGGGTCACAATGTCATTTCCTATGTGGCGTTTCCTCTGCAGCTGAAAGAAACCATCCATAGAAACAGATTTAAATTAGAATATCAGATCTGAAATGTGCCGACTGGCAGAAACCAGAACATTCCCTAAAAAATGGAGTTAAACTTCTATCTGGCCTTCAATAGATGCTCTAGTTTTACAACAAGTAGGAATTCAGGTCACCTTCTAGAAGGTCAGAGATGAGATGTTCCTGTTCCACCAATCAGACTGAATGACTTCCTGTTCGTTAAACAGAACTAATTGTCCACAGATGTTTAGGCTTCTAATCACGTGCATTTGGTGTTCAGCTGATGACACGGTTCTGCCACTGCGGTTAAAGGTGTAATGGAGGTTTTTGCGAGTTTTTGAAAAGATCCACCCTCTAAACTTAAAAAAAAAATACACGCGCACAACCCTGTACCCACTTCAAGAGGGAACGCCTATTAATTGCGTGCGAGAGCATGAACGAGCCCATTTCCCCTTGTGCACCCTGTTTGAAAGTTGCTGTTCTCTTATCTCAAACAAGCTTACTGTGTCAGAACATCTGCCGTAAATCCTAAATCCCTCAGTCACTATATAGAGCGCGGACTATATAGTGGACTTTACAGTAAACTCAGTTAAATTACTGTTCAGACAGATGATCACTACTTTTTGCTCCCCATTGGTCACGTAACTCCTCCTCCTCCAAGCGGTGCCTGCGCCATCTTTGTTACAAACAGACAGCAGCAAACCATTTGAAAACAAATGGTGAGAAGAGCAGTTTTTTCCCAACTTAGCACATTTGTCACTATATATAGCGACTTTTCAGACTCCTCAAGCAGTTTTATTTCAAAAAAGCGTCTAGCGCCACATCTAAAGACTTTTTTCTGCTACTGGAGACTTTGGTGAAAACATATAAAAGCATCGAACTGGTTTGGAGTGGTAACCCCGCCTTCTGCTCTCCTCTATCTTCTCTGCTGTCATGATTCATGCAGCTATTATTTCATCCAAATGAAAAATGGAGAACAGAGAAGCAGATCATGGCTTGTCTACAGTGAAAATAAGGACTGGGTTATTTACTTTTGCTGTTGCCTTTCTGGAAACACAGGAAGGAGCAATCAGCTAAGTGAGCTTAGTGCTTGGAAAAAAATCTGTCATTCCTTTTGAGACAGCATGAAAAGTCAGCTGAGTACAAAACATAGAGGGAAAGAACAAGAAAAGGGACGAGAAAAGAGGGACAAAAGAACAAACAATTTATGTCTATTCTATTGCAATTTCTGTCTCTGTATAATGGGTCTGTTTTATGTGTTGTCTTCTCAAATCAGAGGCCACCCTGCCTGTCTTTGCCTAGGGCCCCAAATTTCATAAATCCGCCCCTGCTTGTTATTACTTGCTGCAGTCTATGGCAAATCCCATCATGCTTTGCTCTCCGCACAAAGCATTCTGGGATATATCTGCCTCTTCTGAGGCCTTTCTTTTCTTAGCTTCTTCATAGTTCAACACAGATATACGCCTGAAAGTGTGCATGTGCAGAAAAAGTTAGCTAACTGGGGACGAGTACGTAGGACGACCTTATGTAAACGTATTACCAGAATGATTGACAAATAGGAGGACCACTAATTTTGATCATCCACTCGTCCATATTTTGATTGCTAACAGGCTGTTGCCATGGTTATTTGGTACTGTCAGACTTTCCACCAGGTCACGTTTTTTCAACATTGGTCAGCTTTTAGCGGCAGTTTTTAACCTCTTGGCAACAGCCAATATCAAAGCCAACTATAGCTGTAATCATCAGTAGGTGTGATTATTGTGGCAGCAGGTGGGGAATAATTACTGCTCTTCTGATTAAACCCGTTATGATGATTTAATTTAACCTGTTTTGTGTTAATTCTCTTTCACTCAGATAATCATATGTGAGCATCTGATAAAGAGTCAGGACTATTTGTCTTCAGGTGTTTCCACTTGAACCCAAAAACCTTCCCTGGGTAAACAGAACCAAACAGAACCAGTGATCTGACCTCTGGGGTCTATAATGCTCTCTGTGAAGTCCATCTACCTGCTGTGGGTCTCCCTCAGTGAACGGCAGCTTGGTGGAAATGTGGAACATGATCTCTTGTCCTCTGTGGACGGTGTAGACAGACTGAGAACCCGTCTGACCGTGAGACACATCCAGACCCCCCCGGAACCTGCAGAGAGGGAGCAGAACCCATCAGGATCCATCTGTTGGACCGCATGATCTTATTCCTGGTGTGGAAAGATAAATATTTCCCCCAGTCCCACAGGTGGCGCTCCAGGCAGACCAAATACTATTTCAGAATGCAACAAATTTTGTTCATTATTTTATTTTGTTTTTTATTGTTTATAATTGTTTTATGTTTGCAAAGCTGGAAACAAAGTATGAAGGACAACATTTCCAATAAATCCCTTTGAACGCCTGAATAAGCAGATGCTTTCTAATAAAAATAACAAGATGTTGCCTTTGGAACCCAGCAAGAGTGACCCTGAGGAGCTGCAATGACAGAAAGACTAGGATTTCACACCTTGGGGCTGCAGATGTTTGCACTTCTCACCCCTTGAAGTCCTGCAGCTCCACGGTGTCTCCCAGCAACTGCAGGAATTCTGTGAAGGCTGGCGTCTCCTGGTTGTTGGTAAACAGCTCCTCCTCAGACACCTGCCGACAGGTGACTCTCATTCAGACCCCAAACAGTCAAACTGTCACATTTAAAGGCTCTAAGTGAGAACAAAGCTGTTAGGATACTGAGAGCTGCTGGTGGAAAACAACAGACCCTTTAGAAAGAATGATGTGACACTGTAGCTGAACTGCAGAGCTGCTTCAGTGGCAACCCAGGCGCACTTAGGAGCATTGTCACAGATCCTTCTTCCAAGCAGCTGTTAAACTTCCTTACCTTCACTACTTCCAATAAGCCCAGTAAGTGTTTACATTCCTGCTGCTTTTGTAGTTTTTTTCATCTTCATAAACAGAAATCAACATAACTACTGGGAGCTAAAACCTTAAAACAGTTAAAGAAGAAAAGTTGTAGAAAAAAAGCAATTTTTCTGTTTATTTCATCTTTTCATTACCTCTTGGAGCTAATGCCAGGAAACATTTCCTTTCAATGCAGATGATTCCTAATCTGAACAAGTCGAAGGCCTTCATTATATAAACCAGGGGCAACCAATTAAAAATAAAAAGTCCAAATAAAGAAAATCATCACCCAGTAAAGGTCTGGAGACATTTTTAATTATAATCTGTTACTTTAAACAGAATTTAACTCTGAAATAAAATAAGTTTTTTATGCATCCATGTTATACATTGAAATCTTAAATAAAATATAAAAATAAATTTTTTTTTTTTTTTTCCATTTTAAAATCTAAAGTGTTTTTTGAAGTAGAGAACAACAATCGTTAAAGCACATATCAAGGAGCTCATTTTGAGCCTGGATCCATATTTATTTTTGATTCTGTTCATGGTGGAGAATCCTGCTTCACAGCAGCAGGTTGAGTCCAAACATCCTCTAAATGTTCAGGGTCATCTTTGAGCACCATTTCACTTTCTTTCACCAGTTCACCACAGTTCTTCCAGCAGTCCACACTTTCTCTGCTCTCTTTTTCTCATCATCTTCTCCTTCTTTCCCATCGCCCGGCTTGCCACAGGTTTGCCTGCTGTGTCTAAAAGTAGCAGCAGCAGCAACCCAAACTGACAGCAGCTCATTGGATCATTTGGATCACATGCAGCCTGGTGGCTTTACCGTATTAACAAGAGAAGAGGCGCATATGAAATGATAGACTCTGACGTCAGAAAACATGCAGTAATTTATAAATGTTTTAAATCAGGTTGGGTCCGTATTAGCCAGAAGTCTAAGCACATCAGTTCTTTCATTTGTTTTTCAATCTCTCAGTAGCTGGAACCACCTTACCGCTCTGATCTCCTGCAAACATATGAACCTGTTTGCTCAAATCAAAGTGTAAATCTTTCTCTGTAGCCGCTGTGGAATCAGCTGCAATCATGTCAGACTGGCATCATCACTCTGCGAGTTTAAAAAGGTTACTTAAAACACGTTTTTGTAAAATCATTTAGTTAATATTGTCTTTTTATTTTTGTTGGGTGTATTTCAAACTTCTTTGTTTTAACTTGCTTTATTATTTTTTTATTAAAAGAACAAAATCCTAATATTAGGTCTATGAGATGAAATGACCAGATTAAAGTCGAACCAGAATAAAGTTTTAAAAATAATTAAGTCACAGTTGTAGTTTATCCAGAATAATGTCGTAATGTGAGATTAAAGAAGTAGAATACTTTGTTATTAACTATTGGAGAAACCTCAGACTTCCTCCAGATTTAAAATACTCAGTTTGCTGGATTTTAGGTATTGAGGTACTTTAGGTATTCAGGTTTTGGGAGATATTTTAGGTATATCTATCAAGGTTTTGTTTTATTATAACAACTTTTATGTCTCATAAAATTATGAATTTAATATAATTCAAATTTTATTCTCATAACAGTATAATCTTATAATAGAAAACTGCTGTTATGATCGTTATACTCCATCATACGTATTGAACCCTGGTTGTTTTTAGGAGCTTTACAAAGGAAGGAATGTATAGTTAAAGCAGCAGTTTGTAATAATTACAGATATTTACTGACAGAACTGTAATACATTATCCATATAAATGTTATTTATTATCATCTATGAACTGAAAGTCTCCATCTTTATGTTTGCCTTACATAAGTAATTTCTGTTTATAATTACACATTTATGGAGGCAGACATCTTGGTGCTACGGCAGCTCAGAGCTGACAAACTAGTGACTGTAGAGATCGACATTACAATATGACTGCAGCAAGTTAGGCCTAAATAAACTCTATATCCTACACAGACTAATAAAATAACATTTCTAAAATGATCTATGTAAACAAACCTCATCAAGTAGACACTAAAAATAGAACCCTTTAAAATAGATTTCCTTTCAACCTCTCTCTTTATTGCCTCCTGGTGTCTGGGTGGGAAACAAACCCAAACTGTGAGATAAAAACAAAACATTTCCGTCCGGAGCTTCATAAACACTAAAGGTTAACCCTGTTGAATAATATAATTTAACTTTATGATCTCAGATTGGATAAATTTACCTCTGCATTTAACCCACGCTGGAAAAAAATCAATATCTAGATAAGTAATTTTTCTTAAAATAAGTGCATTTGTTCTTGGATTGAGGAGGTAAAAGATACATTTTGCCAATGGAACAAGACAATTTACATTTAAAATAAGAAAACACAATTTCATTGTCTTATTTCAAGTGAATTTCATCTAATTATCTTATTTTAAGAGTAGAAATACTCATTCCATTAGCAAATTATCTCATGTACCTACTCAAATTAAGGCTAAATACACTTAGTTTAAGAAATTGTTACTTATTTCTAGATTGTTTTTCCAGTGCATCCCCTTGGAGAGAACCAAGATACCGAGCACTCAGGATACCAAGCACTATGCCCTAATCACTAGCCCAATACTCCCCAATTATGATCTTTGATTTTATATTTGATTAATTAAACAGTTCATCTAAAGCTGTTTTCTCTAATTATTTAATATCCAAAGTCACTGTCTTTGCCTTCAGCTGTGAAATCAACATTTCCTACCTGCCCGAAACTTTGGTAGACGACTCCGAACTTAAAGGTGCTGTTCACTTCGTGTTCATCATAGTTCACAATCAGCTGAGACGCCTGGAGACAGGAAAGGACAGCAGTCAGTTTGACGGGGCCCCGGCTGTGTTCAGGGGGAGGAACCTGATGAGCTCACCTTGGGGTAGAGGACGGGGCTGAACCGCAGGGAGGCTGCTTCATCACACAGGAGCTTCAGGAAAAACAACACAGGGGGTCAAACTACTGAAGCTCTTAGGTATCTAAAATTCATTTTAAATGATGGATTTCATACTTTTTAGCATTTTGATTGGTCAGAAATGTTTTAAATATGGACGAAAAATTAGCTTCAACAAAACCTTGATACAAAAATATCCCACCATCTATAATCTTGTCATTATATCAATCTACTAACCAGTTTAAACTAAATTTACCTCCAAATGGTTTTGTTTTGCTTTTTTCACGTCCCTAAAATAATCAAATGACATCACATCACATGACACTTTTATTTCATGTTAGTTTTATATGCAAAATGTAAATTTCCAGGGAGCCTTTAAAGATTGAGATTGTGTACTCTTACAGATCTTTTCCCCACAGTTTATAGAACAGATGAAACGGGGAACAGATTGGGGAAGAACAGGAAGCTGGTTGGAGCTCCTTTGGCGTACCTTGGCTAGATCCGGCACACTGGGGATGTCCGGCAGCTCTGCCAGCGATAGTCGGTGGTAGAGGCTTTTCAGACGAGACCTGAAAGAAAAACAAAGATCAACCTGCTGCCAGAGACCTGGAGCTGCACTACGACCACTAGAAGTCAGAAAAAAAAGAGTCTAAGCCCACTGAAAGGAACTTCAATTGCAAAGATGTGTCTCTGATAAAAAGGGATGTCTATAAAAAGAAAATAAAGCCAAAATATTTTCTGAAAGGGGCCTTGAGCTCTTCCTGAAACTGGACTTCTGACTCCAACCATCTTGGACCAGAAGGCTGACCTGTTTGACCGTGTTTACCTGATGATGACATGGAGGTATTCATGTTCCTTCTCCTCTTCGTGTCTCACAGACAGCAGCAGGTTTCCCAGACTGCTGGCTGAGCAGAAGAAGTTCAGATGTTCCTGAAAGGCAGGGAGGTGTTAGATCCAAACCTGGAAGCTGGACTCTGAGAAGAACTGCAGTCTTTTAATCGAGGATTAAGAAAATTAAAATGAAATAAGACTGTAAATGAAACCTATATTTTTGTTCTATTGAGCATCCTAACTGGATCTCTATCCTCACCCTGCCCAGGAAGTGCTTCCTATACGCTCGTGCAGCCTCATTGATCTCCTCCAGCTGGTACCCATAATCCCCTGGGGCAGCACTGTCTTCCTCCTTCCTCTGCACCCCTGCTCCTCCTCCCTCTTCTACCTCATCACCGCTGACCTCCTGGGAGGTTGAAGGAGGCACAGCAGGAGGTGAAGTTTCAGGATCTTCAATCCAATAACCTCCAAACTGCGGCAGGATGACCTGAGGGTACGGTGCCCCCCTCTCCAACACCTGCAGAGCAGACATGTCCCCATGTAACCTAGAGGATTTTAAAATACTCCAGCAGACCTTCTTGACACCTGATGGAGTCATATATACATTATAAATATGACAACATGAAGGAGATATTATCATCTCTTGATTTAGACCAATGACCACCTTCTGTCCACCTGCTGCTCATGACTCACCTGCAGCCTCACAGCATGAACCAGGCCTGGAAGTTTACTGATCAAGTGGCCTCATGTGGTCAGATCGTTATTGGCTAAATTAATCAGAAGGTAGGTAGAGCTGTCTGTTCCACTTTCAGTTTAATGCATCTAGCATGCTGCTTAGAGCGAACCATCATCAGCGCAGACAGAGCTTCTGCGTAATGTAGCCTTAGTCTCACTTTCAGTGTTTGCAAAAGGGTTCAAAAACAGTTCACTGGCCTGGCAGATGGAATCAGATTAGTTTTGGTGCAAAAATAATGATTAGTTTATATAGTTTTGATTATTTCTTTTTTTTGCATGTTTTTCACATTTTCCCTCCAAAATTCTGAGGCACTCACAACAGTTTAAAAACCGCTGGTACAAATAACATGACTTTTATGTCCAAACTCTCCTCCATGGTTTTCTGACCAGGGTTTGTTACTTTAGCTGAGTCAGATAAAGAGTAATTTTCTGCTAGTGGGTAATTTTTATTGTTTGTTTTGAACCTGGAAAGCCAACAACGCGCAACTACACTGGAAAAATCAAAATCTAGATCTTTTTTCTACCGTAGTCTTTTTTTTCTTACAATAAGTGCATTTGTTCTTGGATTGAGGAGGTAAAAGATAAATTTTGCCAATGGAACAAGACAATTTGCACTTAAAATTAGAAAAGACAATTTCATTGTTTTATTTCAAGTGCATATTATCTAATTATCTTATTTTAGTGGTAAAAATACTCATTGTATTGGCAAATCATCTCATTTATCTTCTCAAATTAAGGGTAAATACACTTAATGTAAGAAACTTTTACTTATTTTCAGATTGTTTTCCAGTGTAGAAGAATATCAGAAGTATCCTGAACATTCTAGAGGAGTCTCTGCATTATGGGTACGATATATGATGTCACTTCCTGTTTTGTATGTTGCACTCTGTCTGTCGGTTACTCAGACATCCTACAATAATTGAAGGGATCACAAGCTAAACTAAGGAGACATGGGTCAACCTAGGCAGGCAGCTGGCTGGGAGTGGTTTTTCACTGCAAAAAATGATTATCGCAATAAGTTTTTTTTTTTTTCCTTAAAATAAGTACTTTTTTTTTATTAAGGAGGCAAGTGAGACACTTTGCCAATTCAGGTGCATAATATCTAATTATCTTATTTTAAGAGTAAAAATACAAATTCCATTGGCAAATCATCTTATTTACCTGCTCAAATTAAGAGTAAATAATCTTAATTTAAGACATTTCTACTTATTTTAGATCATTCTCCTTCTCTCCATTCTGATGTGGACATCACACTGGAAAAACCACCAAGAAATAAGTAAAAATTTCTTAAATGTTTCTTAAGTGTCTTTACCCCTAATTTGAGTAGGTAAATGAGATATTTTGCCAATGGAATTAGCATCTCTACTCTTAAAATAAGATCATGTATAATATAGAAATAAGACAATGCAATTGTGTTTTCTTATTTTAAAGTTAATTGTCTTGTTCCATTGGGAAAATGTCTTTTATCTCCTCAATCCAAGAACAAATGCAATTATTCTAAGAAAAAATGACTTTTTTGACTAGATTTCAATTTTTTTCCAGTTTAGCAGTAAAGTGTTGTGTTGCTGCATGTTGTGAAGGTGGTGACTGATACATAACTGCAGCCAATCAACAGCCAATCTTAGAACAGAGACAGTAAACAGAACATCAGCGGGATATTTTTTTAGAATAGTCAAACTTTCCCTGCACCCAAATAAATCCAATTGCTGTTGCCACTCCGAGATCTTTTTCCAAGAAACTTTCTCCTATGTGCTTTTATTTTAAACAATCAATGGAGGCTTTTCTTGTCACATCCAGAACCACATATAGGGCATGATTACTGTCAATAAAGATGTATACATTGGTTTCAATAAAATGAACACATTTAGGACCTTGTATTTCTTCCTGTTAACTCATTCATAAACGTAACAGATGTTTCATCTGTAACAATGCAAGTTTAAAAGTTATAAATACAAGCAAAAAAGTTGCAATGCTGAAGCAATACAACAGTGCAAGTAAATAAAACTAATTTACACTCCCTACCAGTTGGTCTTAGTAATGCACTTGAAAGTTGTTCCACAAAATTCCATCAATAGTGTTATGGTCTTGTTCTTCTTATTTAATAGGCTCTCCAGCATGGACCCACATAGAATGGTTTTATCAAATATGGGCCTTTTATCACAGCTGCACAAGGACAATAAACCAAAGACATCTTTAGAACCGGCCAGTCTGCATCTGTTCTGAAAAACTTCAGGGAAAAACCTCCAGTGGAGGACTTTATACAAGCCTCCAATCAAAAACGAACTGGTGATCTCCAATGGAGGATTTTCCAGGGCGCCATCACCACAAACGTTTTTATCGGTTCATTAATTGGAGTGTTTTAAACAAGTGTCCTTTCTGCGGTCTGTCTGAAAACGTGTTCCACGTTTTTATGGAATGCACAAGACTAAAGACTATTTTTAGCCTTTTAATTAGTGTTTTTAGTCTCTTTGAGACGTTTTTTTTTTTTTTTTTTACAAATGCTCTTTTTATAGGAAGAGTTTGCCAGAACAGAAAAAAATAAGCCAAAGGCCCAACTTAAATATTTTTGTTAATCAGTGAAGCAAAGATGGCCATTTACCTGTCCTGCGGAGGCAGACTGCAGGAAGGACCTCACCTTGATGCCGTGGCTCTGTGGAGGTGCAACGTTAAAGCCAGAATAGGGCTGGAGTTTCACTTCCACAGAGCCACACAGAACATGGAGGATTTTATTCAGCTGTGGGGTTTTAATAACACTTTATGTGCTGTGTTAGATGAAGGAGAACTACAATGTGACACGCTCCTCATTTAATGATTTTTAGCTGACACTTGTTTGTACGTTAATAGTGATTTTTAACCTACCCTTAATGTGCATCAATAATTGTTTGAATTGTGTAAATAAAGTGTTTTTAAAAGTCTTATTTAACGGCAGTTGGTGAACAACCTTCAGGAGTGTTAAAACCACCAAATGGGAAGGAGTGCAACAGCTTCTTCTGGATTCAGCCTAAAAAAATAGTGAGTGTAGCTTTCACATTGCACGGAATTACTGATCCAAGCGAAGGCTTAAATTTTCTCCTCCTCTCTCTCCTCCTTGCTCCTGCTCTGCATCATTGGCAACCTACTTTTCAATTCATCTGGGACTTGGGAAAGTAGTTGTATTTCAGCTTTTAATATGAAGTGAGCTGGCCCGCGGTATAAAAACCCCCAACTTGCTTTACTTGATATGGTTACGCATCACAACAAATGTCCAAAACTAAAAAAGAATATTGGCAAAAATATCCAAAGCTGCCCAGCATCCAACCAAGTTAAAAATAAAAAAAAACAAAAAAAACAAAACGTCACCCAAAAGACCTGCAAGTTTTCATGTTTTTTGTCCTACCTCCTCGATCCTTGGATAAGGAATGTAGTCGTCCTGAAACAGAGACAGAGAGACGTCTTAAACACTGAAGACAGTTCTCACTGTCCAACATCATTGTTCTGATTCCTCCATATGACCATTTATATTCTGCAGCATGAAAGTTCAGATAGTTTCTAGTTTCACTTTATGTAACTTCCAGTCTCAAGAGACGTTTCATTTCAGAACAAAGTGAGTTTTAATGTTTGAACGTTAAACTGCAGAAAGCAACAGATCCACATTAACATGCAGGACGTGTAGCAAACGATGACAGATGAGTAAGACGAGGATCAGAGCCTCCTCTGGCAGGGGCGGCAGCTCGTTTTGTGTCAGAGTTAATACTGAGAGGAGGATATGAGACCTTCCTGCTCAGGCTGAACCAGAACCTGTCACTCCTGAGATTTTCTATAAACATGAAATGAAATGGAGCAAGGATTAGGGGACATATGAGGACAGACGAATGGACAGACGTGCCTTCTGTCTCTGAGGGGTCGTCTTCATCTCAGCAGCTTCAGGCACCTGCTGCATTGGAGTCGGGGAGAGAAAACAGACATGAGGGTCTCTCTGTCTCTACAATTATTTCTGCCTACAGAAAAAAAAAATCTTACATGGAAGGAAAAAAATAGCAGATTTTCTTCTGCAAAAGCCTGAAAGCTAAAAGTCGAAGTCAAACACTTTCGTTTCTTTTTCTTGGCTTAATTTCTTGTTACATTCATCCTGCTTTTCCAAGTAGCTTGTCCCACTTGGTTGTTCTCTTATTGCTCCTCCTGATCTTACACACTGCGAAACCCATCTAGAAATAGGTAGAAAAAATCTTAAATTAAATGTATTTACCCTTAATTTGAGTAGGTAAATAGTTGATTTGCCAATAGAATGAGTATTTTTACCACTAAAATAAGATAATTAGATAATATGCACTTGAAATAAGAAAACCAAATGGTTTTTTTTGTCGTATTTTAAATGTAAATTTTCTATTGGCAAAGTGTCTCACTTACCTCCTCAATTCAAGAAAAATGCACTTTATTTTAGCAAAAATGCCTTATTTAGATTTCCCTTTTTGCAGTGTAGCCGTCCTTTCACTGTGGACACCAAACCTTCAGTGGGTCTCTGTCCCATAAAAACATGTCAGGCGTCCTTTTTCTGGTTCTTAAATTCTCTGACGCTCTGTTAGGAACAGATCTTGAATTCACAATGGCTAGCCCAGGCACTATACCCTCCTCTTCCACATCCAGGCCTTTATAATGTAATTTTTCATAGTCATATTCAAGCATGCTGGGTGTCCCTGAAGGAGTTTGGGTCTTTGAGGCAGCAGAAGTGCTCATGCTGCATCAGAACAGTGATGCGATCCAGATAGCCGCTCACACTGAGCCTGGTTCTGCTGGAGGTTTCTTCCTGTTAAAAGGGAGTTTTTCCTCTCCACTGTCACTACAAGCATGCTTACTGTGAGGGATTGCCTTTGAGTAAATAAGTAGATGCAGTGAACTGTTTTTTCTTAGATAGAAAATTTAATAAATTAGATTGTATGATATGGTTGAACTGTAAAGTGCCTCGAGATGACATGTATTGTGAATTGGCGCTATATAAATAAATTGAATTGAATTGATCCAAGCCTATACCATGATACCTTTCCACCATTAGAGCCTGTGTGCAGGCCGAGGAATCACTGCTGTCCAGTCCTCCAAATCCTCCCAGATGCCCTGAATGGTTTCAGGATGTGTTCCTCTGCAGGTCTTTTTTAGTAATCGTTATTAAAGATGCTCTGAACATGTATGCTCTTCAGAACCTCAGTCTGTTTTGGATGCTGCCATAGGATCAGGATCAGGATCACAGCTTAATTTCTCTGAATACAGAGCAGCCCACGTTAGATGTTTATAGAAATCAGTCAACAAACCACTCATTAAACGGATGAAGTTATCTGCAGGTACAGGAAGGTCAGATATGAATAAGAAAAATCTTCTTTGGAGTCCTCTTTTTCATCTGCTGGAACCCAAACAAACTCTTTTGCTCCTGCTGATGGTTTCTGAGCTCTGGACCAATCTGATCAACTCTGGATATCAGAGCAGAAAACTAAAAGCTGCTCTGATTACAACAAGTACAGATTATCCTCCAGACATGCAAGCAGCTGCAGAGGGAATCACTTCTTACCTCCATCTTCTCCATCATGTCAAAGAAATGAGCCGACTGCAGACAGAAAGGGGCCACGGTTAAATAGTTTACTGTAGGTTTTACCTTGAATAACAGTTTTTAACAATCATTTCTGTTGGGCAGCTGTGGGGGTGAAGCTCCTTACCTTCATGGTGGGGGGTGCTGTGCGGGGGGGAGAAGGGGGACACTCTTCCACAGGAACATTAGAGATGGTCAGCAGGTCCTGCTTACTGCAACAAAAGAGGAAATCTTCAGTGACATGAATCATGAAGCTGCATCATTAAAAACGAGAAGCAGGTTCCTCTAAATCCCTGCATCCATTCGAACCCGTCCTCTCTCTTTATCACCTGCTGTCGGAACCGTTTGTGTCCCGGTGCTTTAAAATTTATCTCAGATAAGAGATGAGTTTCTCAGAATCTGGAGTCTTAATCTTTCTCCTGCTTGGGTCCGTCCTCACATCAAGCAGCTAATGAGCCAGAAGATCATTTCCTTGGCCCTCAGGCGGGTCTCTCTCTGGTTCCATCAGCAGGTTAGAAAGCTGGCAGCAGAGTCTGAGATGAGCCGTCTGCTTCAGATGATTTCCCTTTTCCAACACATGGATGAATCATCCCCATTTCACCTTGATAACAATGAGTCATGATTCTGCCTCAATAACTTGCTGCTTCTCCTGAATACGGATCTAATGTCTGATGACTCAGTCTGTCCATAAACATCTTTGTCTGTGAGGATGTGGTTCTGTTAGCGTCTTAGGGTCGTGATCTTCAGCAGTTCAGAGCTAAGGTCAGAGGTCAACCTCTGTCTAAAGGCAGATATGCACCCCCCCCATACACACACACACACACACACACACACACACACACACACAAACACACTTCTGCAGACATTCTGGTGCACCTCCCCAAAATTGTAGGTGACCGCAGACAAAGCCACAGATGGCGTCGCAGGGAGGAGAGAAGGGAGGCCTCTGATTGGTCAGTTCTACATCTGTTCCACACTATTGTTATTTCCTGTTTGGTACCTAATGGCAGAAGCTCTGGCTGTAGTGTCGTCCACAATGGCTTGGCACATCTTGGACACTTTTCCAGAAACCTTGGAGGATGCTAGTTTGTAGCTCTGTGCCACGGTCTGTTGGTTCGCAGCCGAAGCCAAAACTTGCAGTGCCACGGCCAGTCTTTCTGGAACTTTTAAGGGTGAACTGTGTGTCGTCTGGCGTTTGATGAGGGGTTGTAGACGGAGAGCAAGCTTGACAAACCGACACACAGACACCCACAACCCTAGCTAGTTCATTATTGTCCCTCTTGTGTTGCGGCGTTGAATAACATAATGTAGACCATGCTTCAATATTTAGGATAAATCAAAAATATCTGCGTCATACCTACGACAAGCTCACTGCGACAGACTGCTGCGGGAGTATAACCAGACTTTAAGGAAGGAGTGGGGGAAGGAGCTTAGGTTCCTTGGGTCTTAATTTTTGGTTGGATGAAGAATATCAAGAAACAACAGGAAGATCATATGTTAACAGAGGAGTGGTGGGCTACTGGTTACAGCAGAATGCCAGGATTCTGACCCAGGTCCCCCATTCAACTGAACCAACACAGTATGGTGTATGATGGATGGATGGTTGGAGGTATGATGGATGGATGGATGGATGGATGATGGACTGATGGTTGGATAGATGATGGAGGGATGGATGGATGGATGGATGGTTGGATGGATGGATGATGGACTGATGGTTGGATGGATGGATGATGGACTGATGGTTGGATAGATAATGGAGGGATGGATGGATAGATACTGTAGATAGATGGATGAATAATGGATGGATGGATGGTTGGATGGATGGATGATGGACTGATGGTTGGATAGATGATGGATGGATGGATGGATGGATGGATGGATGGGTGGATGGATGGATGGATGGATGGATGGATAGATAGATGGATGAATAATGGATGGATGGATGGATGGTTGGATGGATGGATGATGGACTGATGGTTGGATAGATGATGGAGGGATGGATGGATGGTTAGATGGATGGATGGTTGGATGTATGATAGAGAGATGGATGGATGGTTGGATGTATGATAGAGGGATGGATGGATGGATGGTGGATGGATGGATGGACAGATGGTGGATGTATGATGGATGGATGGATGGATGGTTGGATGGATGGATGGATGGATGGATGGATGGATGATAGAGAGATGGATGGATGGATGGATGGATGTAGGATGGATGGATAGATGGATGGATGGTTGGATGGATGGATGGGTGGATGCATGATAGAGAGATGGATGGATGGTTGGATGGATGGATGGATGGATGAATGAATAATGGATGGATGGATGGATGGATGGTTGGATATATGGATGATGGACTGATGGTTGGATAGATGATGGATGAATGGATGGTTGGATGGATGGATGGATGGTTGGATGGTTGGATGGATGGATGGATGGTTGGATGTATGATAGAGAGATTGATGGATGGTTGGATGTATAATAGATGGATGGTTGGATTTATGAAAGAGGGATGGATGGATGTATGATGGATGGATGGATTGATGGATGGATGGATGGATGGATGGATGGATGGACAGATGGTGGATGTATGATGGATGGATGGATTGATGGATGGATGGACAGATGGTAGATGTATGATGGATGATGATGGATTGATGGATGATGATGGAGGGATGGATGGATGGACAGATGGTGGATGTATGATGGATGGATGATGATGGATGGATGGATGGATGGATGGATGGATGGATGATGATGGAGGGATGGAAGGATGGGGTCAGTATTTAGTGCTATTTTATCTTCATCTCATTGAAATTAAAATCTTTTTCCAGGTGGTTCTGGCCAGCCCAAACCAGCTGACATGTTCAGAACTTCCACGCTGAAACTAAAGAAGATCCTGATGTTCCAGACATCTGGACAGCAGTGATCCCAAAGTTAAATACCTTCAACCAGGTGGTTGAATAACAATCTGGACTGCAGGTAGAATCAGAACCAGAGTTCTGCAGCCAGTTTATTAAAATCCTAAAATATAATCTTTAAATGAGTTGATTTGGTGAAACATCTGCTCTGGCTTTTATTTCAGCAGCACTGACTGTTTACCAACCTTCAGACCAGTTCCCTGTCAGTTGCTCCGGCTTTATTACTAATCAGGGTCAATTCATCTGAGCTCCCTTTCTTTTCTGTCTGTGCAGGAAAAGAGGAGAAGTTGAGCCTAATAATCTTCTGTTTGTTACTCGGTCCTCGTCTTGTCTCTGAGTGAAGGTAACACGTTAGAAGAACACTCGTATTTGGATCAGAATGTTCTGAACCTCGCTGGACGGCAGCTTTCTGTCCTCGTCACTCAATCTGTGCGTGCACAAGCAAGCACGAAAGGTCACAAGGAGGCGAGAAATAAACCCTGCTGTGAGAGAATAGGTCACTCAGTGAGGCGCCGTGGCATTTGGACCTGATACCAGCACTGAAGTCCAGTTGGTTCCGACAGACACAATTTATACTTAATGTTAAATCAGTCAGGAGAAGAACAAAAACAATCCAGGTCATGATCCTGGAAAAGTGCAACCTCTTCCGTATTCATCAGCTGTTCATCATCAGCATAAAGTTCCCTTTACAATCAGAAGGTTCCTGCTCTGAAGCACACAGGTCAGTGGCGGCTGGCCCATAGGGGGCGCTGGGCGCTTCTCTCCACAGACATGGAGGGGAAAAGTCATAAATAATATATAAAGATTTTACTTGATGATTATTTTATGGATGTAACATGTGTTAGCGGTAGCAAGTTTTAGCCTTGTATCGGTCTATTTATAGCTAAGCTAATTCGCTTGTTTTATTAGAAGCTCAGAATAATTTGTGTGTTTATCTGCAATCTGCTTAGTTTAAACAGTTGTTTATTGGATTAAAAGTAAATGTAATTGTGTTTTTTCTGCTTTTATTTTCTTATAGCTCTTATGGTGAGTTCATATGCTGCCTCCAAAGACCATTCTAAAATAAAAGAATATGAACCATCAGTTAAAGAGTCAGACTATCAATTAGCCGTGAGGTAGAGATCATGGCGGCGACGACAGTTGAAGTTGAAGAGCAGCTTTCACACAGTTCAGTGAGATTTTCACTGAGTTACCCGTTCACGAGAAACAAGATGGTGGAAAAAATCCATGTAAAGGAGCTGGGAGCTGACAAACCTGAAATAGAGTTAATGCAGCGAACTGAGGAAAAAGCTGAATCCTGCAGCTGGACTTTTAGCAGGAGTTGGTTCCAGCGTAAGTCGTAGCTGACAGCCTGTGGGACAGCTGATGCACTTTGTTGTTTTCTCTGCATTCTTTTTAAAAGTGACCAGAGTAGGGATGCACGATATAATCGGCCCCCTATCCGTATCGGCCTGTATCGGCCTTAAAACTGAAATTTGATCAGCTTCTGAGTTTCTAAAGTCTAAAAAAATAAAAATACTACTTCTTCTTCCTCAAAAACGTCTTTTTTACAGACTTAAAAACTTCTAAAGACGAGGGAAAAAATATTGATACATTAAAATATCACAATATCTTCATATGCTGATATATTGCCATTTAAAAACATCATATCAATCTCTTTTACTAATGAAATATTGCTATATGTCATCGTTATGCTACGAAATCCCCTGAAAATTCACGAAATTTTGCCATATTTTTATATGTTGATATATTGACGCGGTATCGATCTATTTTACTAACAAAATCTCACAAGAATTTGCAAAATATCACGAGAGTTTGTAACAGAACGATGAAATTTCACGAGATTTTGAAAGTAAAATAGATCGATACCGCGTTTTTAAAAATCAATTTGATATCAGCATATGAAAATATATTTGAGTATATTATTTTTCAAAGTGTCAGAAATGGATAACAAAACTGCTATTTTCAATGACTACTTATTTTTGTCCAGCTTTAACATCAGTATCGATATCGGTTATCGGCTACATGAGTTTTAAAATATCGACATATCGGATATCAGCCAAAATCCCAATATCGTCCATCCCTAGACCAGAGTGACGTGGACACAGTCTGGACAGACAAACTTGTTAAAACACCTCTCCGACAGGTAGGACTGATTTAAAGACTTTTTAGAAAAAGAAGAATGAACAATCTGGGATTCACATGGAATATATTATATAATTTACTTTTTCTAGATGTTTGTTAATTTGCAACCAAAAATAAGACTCTTAAATAAACACATTCTCAGAA